TTGCTCATGCTTGACAGTTGTTAAGGCTGATGAAAGTTCCCGAACCATGTCTTCCAATTTTGCGCTATCAGCTGCAAAGCACTGATTATGATTTAATCAAAAATATAATTTGTGAAGAAAAAAAAATTCTAATGCGCGAGAAGCGAATTTGCACCTCCGTGACTCTGAAGATTCCAGAGAGAAAAACTCGTGATAACTTTAAAAAGGTTCAAACAAAATACATGATAAGTTCCAGTGTTAGATGTGATAATCACATATTATAATGTGATTTGACGCCATCCAAATCTTTTTTCTAGCACCAACAACCCAGCTTGCCCCTATGATATGATATAAATTATTCATCATGCAATACTCTAGAAGTTCTGCCACAGATATGTTACGTGTTTGGTTTCAAAGAAGCATTTTTGATATGGGAAAAAAGCAGAACTAGTAATCTTCGATCCTAATCTCACAACTGAGATGTCAAAATGAATAAAGCAATGCTTTACAAAAATTGATCCCAATTCGGAAACTAATTAAACAGAAATAACATGGCCGAAGAAAAAATGGAAGTAGAACTAAATTAGTTCATCAAGGCTGCTAAATCCTGGTGTAGTATTATGTTTTACCAGATAGAACTGCAAACGAAGCACAGTCACAGACCCATCCTACTATCTCAAGCCATAAGCTGTTTCCCTTCACTTCGGGATTATCCAGACTGTTTGATAAGAACATGGAATTGTTGTGACGAGAAAAAGAAACCTAAAGAAGCATTGGTACTCTCGGAAGGCGAAACGTGTCCAGGCACAGCAATTTCCATCGAGAACATCACTACTTTCGGTGTCATTGTTGACATCTGATTCCCAAAACAATATGTGTACGGCCCATCCATATGTGCAGCAAACGTGTACTTGCCTGAGCTTTCTCGTTCACCTTTATAAATTTCTCTGTTGTCCGGGCCAACAATCTGGAACGCGTTATTTTTCTCAGACAGAACTAATCACAAGGATTTTGGGTCGGCCGCTTCACTTGGATCGTCCATTTTTCATTCGACCATTTAATGGCATTA